CTAGCTCACGGTGCAATTGTGACTCGGTTGTTCGTGCACCAATAGCACCCAGAGAGATGAGGTCGGCGAGGAACTGTGGAGAGATAGTGTCGAGCATCTCGGAGGCAATAGGCATGCCCGCGGATGTGAGGTCCACGAACAACTTGCGCGACACTCTCAGGCCCTTGTTGATCTTGTAGCTCTCGTCAATGTCTGGGTCGTTGATCAGGCCCTTCCAGCCGACGGTTGTGCGTGGTTTCTCGAGGTAGGCGCGCATGATGATGCAGAGGTTGTCTTGAAGCTTGTCGGCGAGGGCCTTGAGGCGCTGGCAGTACTCGAGTGCCAGCTCTGGGTCGTGGAGCGAGCAGGGCCCGACCATGACGAGGAGACGGTCATCCTTCTGGGTAATGATGCTGGCAGCGTCCTTGCGACCTTGAATGACGGTCTTTTCGGCATGTGCGGGGATGGGGATCTCGGACGCGAGAAGTTGGGGTGGGATCAGCGGGTCGTAGCCAAGTACGCGCACATCGTCGCTCGGATTGATAGACATGTCGGGTGTTTCCGTTGCAGCGGGAGCCATTGTACAGTGAGTAGGCTATCTTTATGTGTATTAGTAGGCTGTCTAAGCGACTGTCAATTTGCGGTCAGTCTTACTTGGACTGTAGCACAGACGTATGCGGATGTACAGCAGCGAGGTTGTACAGGGCGTGCAGTAGAGTGCAAGGAGGGGCGTTGAATGTCTCAAGTCAGGAAATCAAGCGCGCAGATGGTGTATGCAGGCGCAGGTCCGAGGTCGGCGAGAATGACAGGCAAAGGATATAGTGAGGGCGTTGCAGATACAGTCATATGCCACCAAATTATTTGGGAAACTTTAGGTCGGGGTGGGGCTCATGGTTGGTTCTGGTCCCGCAGGCTATCGATACACCGTCGACGGAGCTTTGCAGCTGCATGTGCGCCAAGCTCGTTACCCTGGAATTGGGAATCGCCCTCTTCCAGTTGGTCAATGTACGTTTATGTTGCTGCTGGAGCTCGACGACGGCGTGCACATGACCTTTTCCTCTTGGTGTAGTCTGCAGATCGGCCTGGTTTTGAATTCTGGTATGAGGTGGCAGCTGGCAGGCTGGATGGAAACGTTGGCGGCACTGTCTGACCAAAGCTGCAGCAACGGCTCACTCAGCCCGTATCCCTTCCAACAGCATCTCTCCGACCCCTAGAGGCCTGCATTCAGCTTGCGACATGTCCAGGTGGCTACACACACACGCCTCCTGCCACATCCCGCCATGACAAGTGAACGTATGCTCCTCCCCCCTTCTCCTTAGACATGCAGATACACAGCCCACGTGATGCCGTACCTGCCTCGGTTTCGGCGAGTTCAAGGTTTGGCTTCAGTTGCCAATCACCACTCCGCCACGCTAAGCCACACCATCGTCGACATCATCGCGACTATCTCTCGCACGCACCGCCGGCAAGCGACACCTCGGGCTGGATCTGGACGGGCCTCCAACTCCCGGCAACCAAGTCGCAAGTTCCCCCCACAGTCGCTTGAGGCGCGCGACTCCACCATCCAAGCCTTGGTTCTTTTCATGCGACCTGAAACAGCGCCCCTGATAGTCATATCAACCCCCCGCCCGGCTTGCGTCAAACATACCGACCAGGTCTCTCGATCGCAGTCCCGCTTCCTCAGCCGCACCCCTCTCGACCCTCACTGCACCACCACAATCATCTCGTTACCATTCCACCGACGCGTTGATCGCGTTGCGCCGACGTAAGGAAGGACCACTCGTTTAGTCTACATCACCATGTCTGCATTTCACTTCATGGCCAGGAAGCGAGGGCGCGACGACGATTCAGACTCGGATTTCGACGAGGAAAGGTACCTCAAGGTATGTCGGCAATATCGTGTGCCGGGCTTTGGCTAATGGCGGTACAGAAATCCCGACCGGGCAGCAACGAGCCGACCAACCATGACCAGCTCCAACATCAATCGCTATCGACCCCACCAAGACTCTTTACAGACATCCGGTCCATGACACCGGCACATTCAGAATATGGAGGAGCAAATTCGCCGGATTCCATATATGGTGGACCTGTCTGTATATCAAGAGAATCAAGTGGGATGGACATGGATATGGATATGGACGACGATGACATGGATGTTCGGAGCCAGCCGCCAGAGTCGCCCGCCTTCAACTCGTTTGGCAGCAACTTCATGCGACCGCCCATGCTCCAACCATCGCTATTCAACTCAGATGCCGTCAACAACAATAGTCGGATACCGACACCCATACACCCGACTTTTAAGAGAGGAGGGATGAGCGGATTGGGTTATCCGATGAGCGGATCAGCCGGTGGCATAGCTATGAACAACTCGAATGTACCGTCCATGCAGGCACCTCCACCAGCCTGGAAGGGACAGAGGCAGGATGTAGACGAAGATCGGACTAGACGCATGCCTTCACCCATATCCGAGGACGATGACATTCCAGATACGCCAACCGCTTTCACCCAGTCACAACTATCGCGACTTAGTTTTTCGCACACCAGTACGGCCGATCAGATGGATACCGAGTCATCCTCCACCTTGGCCCCACCTTCGACGCCTCGCGGAAGGAAACGAAGCGGTGCTTTGACCGGTATGGGACGTTTCAGTATGGGTTACCGGGAAGACTGCGAGAAGTGCAGACAGCGGGTTCCAGGCCACTATTCACATTTCCTACCATAGAGAAGGTGGGCCTAGAGACAGCGGACTCGGGTCATTGGGGTACGACAGCATGGCAAACCTTGGTATTTGCCCATAACATTCGCATCACGACACTCACCTACACGGGCTCTTCAAACTTCGTCATCATCATTATCCACACTTACGGCGTGGCGTTTTCATGCCTCATAATCGGCGTTTCATCAGCATGGCGTTCCAGGAGTCTTATCATGCGTTAACGATATCCCTCTAAATGTACAAGTATTCTACTATTCGACGATAGCAATTCCAAAAAAGACACTCGTCATCGTACTTGCCACTTGACTGAACGCATCATTGTGCACCGCTCTGTTTCTTAACTGTGCCCAACTATAGCATGTCAGAAACACTTATCGGGCCTTCTTCTCCGGCACCACGAAAAGAAGGCGTGCAACAGTATACATCGGCAGGTTTTTTCCAAAATGCAATACGGTATAGCGTTACGGTTAAGGCCAGCAGAACATGGCACTGTGTGAAACAAGTGGGACCCGGGGTGTAGTGAAACGAAACGGCACAGCGCTTCCTGTGGCGCAAAGCGAATCTCGTCATTTGTGAAACGAACGATCTGAGGGTTCAGAGTAGGTCTAGACCAGGTTCGCGGTTCTCTTGTGCCGTGGTGTAGATTTCGAACGACAACGAAGGGACTAATCAGGAAGGTGCGACGGGGATGCTTTATGTGAGGCATGTAAGGCGGCCATTCGGGAGTTGGCAAAAGAGTGCAATTTCCGTAGACGATGTGTCAGTTAGGAATTTTGTATCGGGAAACCCACCAGTGGTGTACGTCGAACGGAGAGGATCAATGATGTCGATTCATGAAGAAGAGTTTTGTGCACTTGTCTCTACATTACGGGACGTGATCAAAGTAGCTTACTATGTTCGCGCGGTCCTTCTACAAGCAGATGCTCATTTTTTAAGATGCATCATATGCCGGTATACTTGATTGAGAATCTTATAAAAACGGCGAGCATTTTAGGATGTGTCCTAGATCCAATAACAACGAGCAAACTTGGCGAGGTGGTCGTAGCATAACCAACAAGATCTGACTTGGACATCAACTCCGGGGATAGAGCAATACGAAATAAGAGAAACCATCATAGTGATTCTTGCCAGTTCCCATGAACTCATCTACTACCGTCTAGCTAGAATCTTCCTCGTCGGCTGGTGGCAGCCATCGTATGATGCGCCAAATATCCCTGATCTCATAATAGCATTCATAATGTTTCTTTGCGTACCGAATGGCGCGTGAGCGGTTATCCATAGCACTGATGTCAGGATCAGGTAAATTTGCTAGCAGCTTCTCGTAGTATGGGTTACAGCGCTCCGCGGGACCCCGGGGCTTCTCTTTCATATACTCACGGTACCGGTATGCAAAGGCATAGGGGTCTTTTAGAATCGGAATAGGTTCAGTCATGACTACAGTAGTTACGATACAAAAGTTGTTTCCCGCGAGTGCGAAGTTAATGTGGAAGTTTGTGGCTTGGTAACGTAGTTGTAGATCAGGTTGACATCAAGCGTTTATCAATAAGAACGCGCTCGGCTTTGTGACATTGTGAATCGTCGCGCAACAAAGCTTGAATAGACGACCTATTGGGGGAGCCCTTCCTATGCACAGCATTGTACTAGAGGAGCAGCAGCCTGGAAGAATTTCGTGAGTGGTGAGTGAGAAGACCTCGGGATACCGAAATCACTCTAAACGCCCATGAAAAAAGACAGAAAAGGCTGGAGGACTGTACATTTGTTCGCAGAGAAACTGAATGAAGTTTGCTGCTGGTGAGCAAGGCTATCCTTTGCCGGAGCTTTATTGAGAATGATTCGAGGACCGACGGCGGAAATGACCTATCGAAGCGTAGCTGTAATAGGAATTGCTCTTGTTCGTCAATATAAACGATGTGAGATGATCAAAAAAGCGATGACAGAGGAGGAATGCAGCAGCAGCAAAAAGGGACCCTCCTGCAATGGTGGCATGAAGACGTCTGAAGTACGTACGTGGACGCAACTGGAGGAACGCTTGCCAGAGGCATCCTATCAAGAGGTATAAAATGGGATGTGATAAAATAGAGTACAGACTCCACCGTATATGCTCAGCGACGTAAACAAGGTGTGCAGCGGATATAATGCGAAGCCGTTGGAGCGCTCATGTTCCCTTGACCTCGGTCGCAGCTGCATCTGTTTTTTGTGGGGCGCAGCATCTTGGCGCCCGCGCTTGCGGGATAGCAGCTAGCGCTAACGCTAAGGGTCTGGCAAAAATTGAGCTTCCGAAGAATTTCTCGAACACCACTTCAACATGTCGTCGAAGTCGTACGTTGTCCCTACACCACGCGCAGTTTCCAAAGCTAATCCTTACCCAGCAGAACTGTTCCCACACAGAGTGAGATCACTCTCGTGCCTGAGAACCTCCTCAAGAAGAGGAAGTCTCAGGAGAAGGCTCGTGAGGAGCGCGCGATCGCAACACGTGAGAAGCGAGGTACGACCAACCCCAGCATGCTATCGACGATCCATGAGGGCGATTACGATGATTATAACTACCACACTATCGGCTAGACTACGGTCAATGTTGTCGAATTGTTAACCATCTTTCGGGAATGATGCAATCGCCCTCACTGGAGCTCATGGCATGACACACTGTTGCAAACAGCGCTGACATGACACAGACAAGAGCAAGAAGAAGCGCGAGGTCATCTTCACGAGAGCTGAGAAGTATGTGAAGGAGTACCGCGATGCCGAGCGGGAGCGCGTGCGCTTGTCGCGCGAAGCCAAGAAGAGCGACAGCCTATACGTCCCCGCCGAGCCCAAACTCGCCTTCGTCGTCCGGATAAAGGGTATCAACAAGATTGATCCCAAGAAGCGCAAGACACTGCAGCTTCTGCGGTTACTTCAGATCAACAATGGCGTCTTCGTCAAGCTTACCAAGGCGACTATGGAGATGCTGAAGATTGTTGAGCCCTTCGTTGCTTATGGCTACCCGAACCAGAAGTCGGTTCGTGAGCTTATCTACAGTAAGTTCGGTACAGATCCAAGTTTACTGCCAGATACTAACTGGGATACAGAGCGTGGCTATGGCAAGGTCGACAAGCAACGCCTTCCTCTGACCGACAACGAGATTATCGAAGAGAACCTTGGCAAATACGGCATGATCTGTATGGAAGATCTTATCCATGAGATCTGCACCGTTGGGCCAAACTTCAAGGCTGCTTCAAACTTCCTCTGGCCGTTTAAGCTTAACAGTCCTACTGGTGGCTTCCGCAAGAGGAAGTTCAAGCACTTCATCGAAGGTGGTGACTTGGGCAACCGGGAAGACAAGATCAATGAATTGATCAGGCAGATGAATTAGACCACGCGAGGTCAATATTTTTGGGTTTCGTCTCTGGTTTGGGCGTGAAAAGCTTTGGGATATACCACGGGAGTGAGCATTTACATCGGCGTTTGGGACCTCTAACCCTTAAGTATCACGGTCACTTGATGAGTCTACGTGCAAAACGCATGCAATCTGAATGAATTTGAAATGTTGCGCTGTGTTCGCTTCACATAACTTGGCCATCAGAATCTTGCGCTCCTTCGGTAATGACATTGAGGTCGTCGTGTACTTTCCAGTGTCATGCGATGCGGATTAGCGGCATGTATTGCCAGCGCACCACGAACGCGTTGGGCACTGTGTGAGCCGAAAACGCGCGTGCGACGAATCTTCCAAGCAGGAGCCTTGGGTATCTTTGAAATGCGCAGGATATTCGCAGTACTTGCTTTTCATGGCCGGTCTGGAAGGTACCACAGGCTCAGACGTTTGGGATGGGTAGAGGGGAAATATCTCACTGCCGCCTCAGCCATCTCACGATGCCTGGCTATCCTCACACTCGGTCACGTGTGACTCCTGCGCTAAGCCACTTTGATTTGAAGTTATCTTAGCAACATCGCTTGCCAATTCAGTACCGCGTGCATCTCCTTGCCGGCACATATTTATTCCTTCTCCAGCCCATAGTGTTCGCCCTCACCGCATCCCTGACGTAAACTCAAGTGCCGCGAATATCGTCGTGGACGACGTAGCGTTCGACTCCACACGAGACAAATATTGCCTCCTACGTGGGATGGTGAAGTCAGCTGCATGACCAACACGATGTTTCTGGTGCCTGATGGAAAATCACGGTAAGGGCTGCAAGCGTCACTATGGGTATTGATGAGCTCGAGGGGCCAATCCGCGACCAAGGAAGTGGGTAAGAAATATGTTGGACGGTGTGAGTGGAGCAGGTGCCGGCCTCGAAGGCTCGAACATCCTCACATGCATCCCAGGTGCATACAGTGGGCACCTGCTTACGATATTGCACCGAGCCCAGAGGGGGGCGCCGAGCGCTTGGGTTGCCAGTGACGATTGCACGAGCAGCAATTTGGCGACGAGGAGGTTGATGACGCTCGCCTACAGGCACCAGGCAGTCCGGTTTCGCCGCCGACGTTGTCACTGCCACGCTACCATGGGCATCAGATTCGGGATCGATTTGCATAAGTCGCGCTGATCGTGACACCCTCCGTCTTGCCCATGGTAGGACGTGGCCCCGCCCGACGGACAAGGCCAGGCGTCGCAGGAGCGCTCAACGGCCGCGGCACAATTTTGCACTGCGAACGGGTCCGAGTCGGTGGTGAAGTGCGCGATGGCAGTGCTATTCTTGGGCGCGGCGTATTGCCATGGCCACGACACGAGAGCAGCCATCAAAACAAAACGCAGACTGGCACGGGGCTGCGCGTCGCCCAGTGCAAATTGACTCCTGTCTTCACAATTCAGGCACTCGAGCACTGTTCACAACCCAAGCAGCTCAGATGACAGGTGCTCACCACGGCGCAGCGGACCAGTGAGGCCGCTACTGCAGGCGCGCCAAAAGAAGAGGGCGATACGTGGCTGGCTTCTGTCGCGGGTGCAGAGGGTGGTCCCTGGCAGCGTTCATTGGCCGGGCGCGGTGGAGTTGTGCAGCGCTGCACCACGACTGCAGCGCTCCTGCGGCGAGAGTCATGAGTGCCAGTCACCGCAAGACGCGGGCTGGAGTCGACGCTGCGACCCACTAACTGCAAGAGGCAGAGTTTTCATAGCACATGAGTGGAGGAGCGAGCAGGCAATGAACCATTCTTGCAGGTGCGGCCTTCGGATGGCGACGGTCTTGCGGGCGTCCCAGAGCCCCTTCGCTGCTGCTGCTAGGCCCTCGCTAACGGTGTGTGTCGAATACACCCACATCACCGCCCTCTGCCCTCCCCATCCTCACTCTCCCCCGTGCCCCGTCTCCCCATCTCCCTCGTCCTGTCGTCGTCGCAGGCGTTGCTCGTCGCGACACAGTCCCCAAGCCCCAACGGACGTGCGCCCCCAATCTCGGCTGTCCGGCATCCCCAGCCCGCTCACCAGCACCTCCCGACGCTTGCTCTGTCTCGCGGGCTTGCAAACGAGCACACCTGCACTCACGGGTAGACGTGTCCGTCTGGCTCCGACACCCAACGCCTCGTCCCCTCCGCCGCTGTCCACACGCTGCGAGTGCTTTCTTCGGCTTTGGTTTGGGCTTGTACTGTGTAATAGTCCTTGGTTTCAACCTGTTTTCTTTTGCCGCCCATCCCCAGGGACCTCGACTCTCCGCGACATCTCCCACCACGACCTCGCATCGCCGGATCTATTGACTTAGCCCCGGTCTGCCTGCGCTCCATCACCCTCGAGCTGCCCTTCACCTGCCGCCTGCCCTTTGCCTCCCTTCCAGGCACTTCTCCGGCCACCCACCGCCTCCGCGCAACCACCAGCGCGACCCATTTCCACCACCCACAAACACCCCCCGGACGTCGCATTTCCTTGAATGAGCACATCTTTCTAGAGGGTCCGTAGGCAACTCTAGAGGCGGCGCGAACGAGAAGACTGTACGTCACAAGCCCCAAGCCGCTGGCCACGCCCGTCACGCCAGCACTCACTAACACGACGCCAGGAGCCTCGCCAGTCTTCTCTCTGCGGCAGTCCCACACCATCATGCCCTCCTTCTACCCCCGGCATAACATGCCACGGCTATCTCCCCAGGAGTTCGTCCCCAGCTACCACTCTGCCTGTGGCGCGTCATACCCACCGCAGCAGCCCGCGTACGCTGGGCCCGCGATCCGGCAGCAAGATGATGGTTACGACTTCGCAGACCGCTACGGCCAACTGGCCATCGCCATGCCTCCCATGTACCCGCAGGCCGGCACCTACCTCAGCAGTGCGCCTCCCAGCCTTCCACCTGCAAGCTCCTTCTACGATCCCATGGGCGCAACCACCCTTCCGCCCATGCGCGCACAGTCTGGCCACGCGTTGGCAGAGGCGGCTATGCAGCAGCAGCGCGTGCACGAGTACAACCAGCGAATGAGTCAGCCCGCCAAGGAAGAGAAGCCTGTCGGCGGCGTGTCTGCAAAGCTGGATTATGACATGGACGTCATGACCGACTTCGTGTGCGAGACAGCCCTACGACTCATCACGCCCGGCCGCATGATGCCCTCGTCGTTCCGCAAATGGGTACACCAGGTGCTTTGCGCCACACGGCTGCCCTCGGCTACCATCCTGCTCAGCATGTACTACCTGTCCAGCAGGATGCCTATGCTAGCTCACGAGCCCAAGACCGACACTCACCTGTTCCGTCTCCTCACCATCGCGCTTGTGCTTGGCAGCAAGTTCTTGGACGACAACACCTTCATCAACCGTTCGTGGTCCGAGGTTAGCGGTATTCAGGTTCATGAGCTGAATGAGCTGGAGCTAGAGTGGCTCGTAGCAATCAAGTTCAAGCTTCATCGCGATCCATCTGAGCAGCATGGTTGGACATCATGGTCAGAGCACTGGAAGGACTACCAGAACAGTGCTGCTGCCCGCTCTGGTCGCAGCAACAAGCTCAGCCCTATCGACACATCGGTACACCGACGCTCACTCAATCCCAACAAGCCGCTTCCTCCTCTGCCGATGCACCAGGCCTACACTCCACCGTACGACTATGCGTCCAAATCGGCACACTCTGCATACAACCCTCCGACCTACTCGCAGTACGACCCATGGCGGTCCGCTAGCGAGCACTCTCCTGCGTCAGCACCGACCACGGGCCCTACCACCCCAGAGTACTACGGCACAACGGGTACTTGGGCTCCAGCTGAGGGATACTCGCGTCGCACCATGTTCGGTTTCCCACCCTTGTCTCAGCCCGCCCCTGCGCAAGCGCTTCAGCAGCCGTCCAATTATGGCCCACCCGCCTACTCCACTCAGTACACACCGTCTGCATGGAACCAGCATGGTCTCAGCTGCGGATGTGCCTACTGCGTGCAGAGGCACCCGCCTTACTACATGGCTCCTGGTTATGGCCCACAGGCTGTTGCCGTCTAATTGCCCGCCACCGACCGGCCGCATATCAAAGCGACATCGCCTTGCCACACCTTCACGGATACATATTCGGCAGCCCATTCCAGCACTTCCTATGTTCAAAAAGTTACTTTCTGTTTCGCGAAGTACCATGGCTTACCAAGCCGACCCAGTTCCGATCACTGGACACATCTGGCTACTTCGATTCCCTCGAGTCTAGACTATCAGACACTCTCAAGGTGTCATTGCCTTATTCCTTCTGCTATCTGCAAGCATATTGGTGCGCCTCCGGATCTCACGAAAACGCACAAGCCTTGCGATCATCTTGCATGATAGATTTCACTGGTTCTTTTTCCTTCGTTTTCCTTCACTCTTTCCTTGTATCACCGGTATTACGTTTTAGACTTTGGTTTGTCCATGGTCTAATAGGAGCATGTCAGCGAAATTGTGGGTTACGGCGTTCCTGCTTTTACCTGGGTGTCATCTCGCACCTTACGATTGTTCATTTCTCTAGCGCTGCCTCAAGAATGCTTACGGGGCTGCCTATCTCGGTTTACGGATTTCTCTTCTCTGGAGTCGGCTTTTGCACTCGGCACACCAAGCCTCTCCATGCGACCAAGCCTTCGGTAGCGACCAGCATCACGCCACCACCGGAGGGTCGCTTGTTACGTTCACGACTTCTTTCCTCGATCCTCGCCTTCCGCTGTAGTCGGGTTGTAATTAATGGCACAAGATCAGCGATGGGATTCGCTTTATTTCTTTCGGAGTGGTGGAAAAAATACCTCTTGCTTTACACGGTTCTGTTTGGGCATTGCTTTGGGAAACGGGAGGAAAGATTTGCTTAGTGTATAACTGTCATACAACGAGATACCCTGACAAGGGGGTAACATCAGAATGCGAAAAAAAAACATCCTAGAAAAGCGGCACAGTCGCACAGGAAACGCCAAATTCAACTCTACTTCTTCTGGCATCCGTGGCTTTCATTGTATGTTCGATTATGTGACAGG